TATAATAAATAAAACAATACTATAGTAGCCCTTATGGTGTAACGTTGTTCTTATTAATTTGGATATCCACCAAAAGTTATAATTTACAACTGCAACAATTTTTCTAGATTTCAGTGGTTCTCGACACCACTACACTTGGGTATTAGCTATCCAGCAATGTTGCTTTTGTATATATATATATATATATATATATATATATATATATATATATATATATATATATATATATATATATATATATATATATATATATATATATATATATATATATGTAGGATTTGTTCTCTCGGTTGAGTCGCGGTAGGCAGAATTCCCGTATCCCCGTTGATATCCAAATGATAACATAAGGTGGATTTTAGTTTAAAACGTTTTTTATTGAAATAAAAATAATATAAACAAAAAACTAATCGGCTAAGTCGCGTCGTGAAAAAAAAAAAGAAAGACGAGAAGTGAAACAACAAAAAGTTACATGGACTTTGTCACATTTGTGTTGCTATCCAACAAAACTACAAACGACGGCTAAATTTGAATTTCTGAAGCGAAAAGAAAAAATAGAACAATGAGTAGTTTGGGAATGTTTGGTAGTGTGCGTGAAAGTCTACGTAGGAGTAGGAAAGAGAGCGTAACTGCCCTACATAAATTTGTGTTTGAGTCAGAAGGAGATAGAACAAATAGACAACGTTTGAGAGAGTTTGAAGGTTTCGACTTCGACGAGAGTTCTGATAAATATCAACAAAAAACGGCGTATGTTGAGGAGCAGTTGACGACGGCAGATTTGATTTCAATTTGCAACGTTTTAGGCATTGACTACAATAACAACGATCTTAAGTTGCACATTTTTAAGAATTTAAAAAAGAACAGTTTACTCACAAGCAGCAGCGACGGTTACGACGTAGACCATGATGAGAACGACAGAGATGATGCTGAGACTCAAAACAACCCCTTAAACAGCATGGCGAGTGCAAGCATAAGAACAAAAATCGAACGGCAGCAGATCGAAAGAGCAACAAACAATAAGGGAATGCCACATAACGACAGTTTTTTCTCAGCAGACGGCGACAGAGAAATAAATGTAACAACAAATATCAACAGAGCAAAAACAATTTGTACAACAGCACCAAGATTTACACTCAACTTTCGTGACATTGAAGATTCTATTCGACAATTTGACGGATCAAATGGAATGGCTGTTGATGTATGGATTTCTGAATTGGAAGAAACAGCGACGGATATGCAATGGGATGATTTTCAAACTTTTGTTTTTGCAAAAAAGTCATTGACTGGGTTGGCAAAATTATTTGTACAGAGTGAATGAGGTTTAACGAGTTGGGAAAAATTAAAAGCAGCTCTTTGTGAAGAATTTGAAAATAAAACAAATAGTGCTCAAATACACAAAATGCTCTCAGAGAGAAAGATAAAAAAGGATGAAAGCGTTTTCGAGTATTTTTTCAAGGTTAAAGAGATTGCCGAAAGAGGAATAGTAGACGAAATCTCTCTAATACAATATGTAATTGACGGTATAGACGATTTAAATATAAATAAAGCTATTTTATATGGTGCAAGAAACATTCGCGAGTTTAAAGAGAAATTATCGGTATATGAGACATTTCGTAACAAATCAAAACAAGAAGTTAGTTCAAGGAACGTTAACCAGAGGACGAATAAAGTAAGAAAGGACAGCAGTGGTAACACAAAAGAAATAAAATGCTTTAACTGTGGAATAAATGACCATAAATCGGTAGACTGTAAAAACAGAAATAAAGGTTCGAAGTGTTTTAAGTGTGATCAGTTCGGTCATATCGCAAAAGAGTGTTCTGTGTCAGATACATGGAAAAAATCTAATACAAGATTTCTGGAACCTAATGACGAATTAATGAAAAAGACAGTGCAAATAGACAATCGGAACTATACAGCTTTAATTGACACTGGAAGTAAATTCAATATAATGAATGAGAATGTATCTATTGAATTGTGTTCAAAAATAAAAACATGCGAGAAAAACCTCTATTTAATCGGATTCGGAAACACTAGAATAAAACCAATCGGAACATGTGAAAAAAATATAATAATTGATGGTGAAGGCTATAATGTTAATTTTCTTGTCGTTTCGCGACATAACATAAATATTGACCTGATAATCGGTGAAAGTTTTTGTTCGCAGGCTGAAATTTTAATACGTCCGAAAAGCGTTACCATTACAAAAATCAAACCAGAGTGCGACGATTTCCAGTTAATGAGAATCGAGTGTGTGGAAACAGGAACTGAATTGGATATAGGTGAATCCGCAAGTACAGAAGCTAAGGCGGAGGTAATGGAAATGATTAGAAAATATAAGCCGGAGAAATGTAAGTCTGTAAATATTGAAATGAGTATTGTATTGGCTGATGACATTCCAATATCGACGAGACCAAGACGACTTCCGTTGGTAGAAAAAAGTTTGGTGGATGATCAAGTGGACCAATGGCTGAAAGAAGGAATTATTGAGGAATCCGAATCAGAATATAGTAGCGCAGTAGTTCTTGTAAAGAAAAGAGATGGGACTCCAAGACTTTGTGTTGACTTCCGACGTCTAAATAAAGTTATGATTAAATACAGATTTCCACTACCACTAATAGAAGATTTATTAGACCGTCTTCAGAATGCCAGAGTTTTTAGTACGATAGATCTTAAAAATGGATTTTACCACGTGCCGGTAGCTGAGTCGAGCAGAAAATATACATCATTCGTAACCCATAACGGGCAATATCAATTTAGACGAGTACCTTTTGGATTATCAAACTCACCTTCTGTGTTCCAAAGATACATCAATGCAATTTTCAGAGAAGCAACTCGAAAAGGTATAGCCCTGCCATATGTTGACGATATCATTATACCAGGCACTAATGAGAAGGATGCTGTTGCTAATTTGAAAATGGTTATTCAACTTTGTTGCGAATACGGCCTAGAGCTCAATATTAAGAAATGCAAGTTCTTGAAGAGACAAAAAGAATTTCTAGGCTACATAATTGAGGACGGGAAAATATATCCTAAGTGAATGCAGTTATGAAGTTCCCAGTACCGACCAATATAAAACAACTTGAAAGTTTTCTGGGACTGGCCGGTTATTTACGCAAATTTGTACCAGACTTTTCTCGTATCGCTAAACCGTTATCGGATTTAACAAAGGGCAATGTCAAATTTGAGATAGGCGAAACTCAAGTGAATGCTTTCAACAACTTGAAGAAGAAATTATGCGATGCTCCTGTTTTAAGTATTTTTAATCAATCCTATGAAACAGAACTTCATACTGACGCGTCAATTGATGGATACGGGGCAATTTTAATGCAAAAATTACCAGATGATGGTCAACTACATCCAGTTTACTATATGAGCAAAAAGACATCTGATGCTGAAAGGAAGTACAGCAGTTATGAATTAGAGTTTCTTGCCGTGGTAGAAGCACTCAAGAAATTCCGGGTATATCTCTTGGGAATTAATTTTAAAATTGTAACCGACTGCAACGCGTTTACGAAAACTATGGAGAAGAAAGACCTGTGCACCAGAGTTGCAAGATGGATTCTTCTATTACAAGAATTCAACTATAAGGTCGAACATCGTTGTTTATCTCCCTTTCCTTTCCTGAGTTTTTAATTCAGTTTGTAGTCCAATTTTGTTTCAGTTTCAAATTCAAATTTTATTTTTACAAAAGGTAATGTGCGGGCTGAACTTCTCTGTTCGGTGGTTTGTTGGAGATTATAATCTCGGTTATGTGCCGTATGCATACAGGGATTCGACTCTGGCTAGTGGGTGTCTAAGAATCACGTTAAACTAACACAAAACTATTACAAAGTAGGAATCACCCTGTTAACTCCGAGACTACATCTTCCACATCGACGGAGAGTAACAATGGGTTTACATCATATTGGAATAAAGCATGATTTAACAATATCATTAGAAATTATATTTTTAAATAAAAGTAATAGAAAATCAAAATAAACTATTTCAACGCAACCATACCGCCCGCCTTGCACTAAAGTGCAACAACATCTCAGAGCCACCACTAACCATTTTCGAATCCCAAATACAATCTTAACAATAGTGTCTTAAAGTGAACAATTTAATTCAGTATGTCTTAGAAAACTAGAAAACAAAATGATATTTAACAATGAAATTAAAAGTATAGAATTCAGTCTCTCTTGGTTTTTTTGTTTTTGGGTTTAATCAGGTATCAAATTCAATTCAATCGGCTCGTAATCGGCACCTTCTTGCCTTCACCAAAATATAGTCGGCCGAATATGGAATCCTGGATAAAAATACGGCCAGGCTGAACCATAGGTGGTCCCACAAAAACTGCTCTGCAGGCTTCGGCTCCCAGAATCACAAAATACGGCGACGACCGGTTCCAATATCTGTCTGCGTCGATCACATTACCGGGAGGGTTGGCAAACATGTTAGCCTCTTTATCAATCCGTGCAGTCGGAGTAACCCCAAATACGCGATCGCGAACCACCAATTCAACCTTGATCTTTTTTCGATCTACACTCTGATGTTGTAACACAACCGTAGTTCTTTCGTTGTCCATAAGACAGTACATATCAAGGGCTTCTTCCAAGGCAATATAAGAATATTTCGAATTGGGATCGAGCAGCACTCTGGTATTTTGATCTCGCCGACCATAACAGGTATAAATTCTGACCATTGCTGTCATCGGGAACCAAATATATTCATCCGTCATACGGTGCAGAAAGCTGTGGTGGAAACCATTACACAATTTACAGACATCAAGACTCCGGCATGCCGATCTCTCATGGGAAGACGCTAAACAATTTATGCACAGCCTGTTATTCATCACGAAGTCTCTTTTTTTGCTGGTGTCTAAGGCCAAAAAGGTAGTACAAAGTCGAATTGCGTGAGGACGTCCACAAAGCGGACAGGGAAAATTCATGTTAAAAAGACCACCAATAGTTTTCATCCTGGAAATAGCAACTGAATTAAATTATGGTAAAATATAAAGTAATGGATTAGATTTGTGAGCTACGGGGTAAGAGTACTAATTTGTGAATGGGTCTAGTAATTATGCCACCCTGGGTTTTCAAATCAACTACTCGAACTTTGTCATCAGAACCATGATAGACCTTGACTATTCGCCCTAGGCGCCAATCAGTTGAGCAAAGAGATTCTCCTTTGAGAGCCACTAAGTCACCGACAATTAAGTCATTTCGAGGATTTTTCCACTTATATCTCTTATGTAGTTCCACCAAATATTCTTCTTTCCATCTGCGACATATATCGTGATGCATTGCTTTCAGTTTCCGCCAACGGTTGAAGATACTGCTTACCGGTTTAATTTCTTCTGGTTCCGCTGGGGTCAACATAGAGGAACCAATTAAAAAGTGAGCTGGCGTGAGTGCTTGTAAGTCCTCGACGTCTTCAGACATAGATCCGAGAGGGCGAGAATTGAGACATGCCTCAATCGTCGCTAATAATGTGGAGAACTCCTCGAAGGTGTATTTAAGTTGACCAGAAAGCTTTTTGAAGTGGGTCTTAAAACTTTTCACTCCCGACTCCCAGAGTTCGCCCATATGAGGAGCTGCTGCAGGGATGAAATGCCAAGAAAGTCTTTGATGGCCAAATTTATTGACAGCCTCGTCCTTAAACGATTTAACTTGTTGGGCAAAGTTTGAGTCGATTTGCCGCGCAGCTCCCACAAAGTTCCTGCCATTATCCGAGTACATGGAATTTGGACAACCTCTTCGAGCCACAAATCTATCTAGTGCTGCCAGAAAGGCTGGGGTAGACAAGTCACTGACTGCCTCTAAATGGATTGCCTTAGTTGCGAAACATACAAAGAGACACACATATCCTTTGGTAATTCTGCTATAACGACCGGTAAAACTTTTTATCTCAAACGGTCCGGCAAAGTCTACTCCCGTATTAGTAAATGCTCGACTCAGAGTCGTTCTTTCGGGGGGAAACACGCTCATAATTTGTTGCATCAGCTTCTGACGGTGTAAAACACAGACCTTGCAATTGTGTATAACACTCTTCACCAAGCTTTTAAGTCTGATGACCCAACATTCTAAGCGGACGGTCGTCATTACCAATCTGATACCACCGTGGCAAGTGATTTTATGAACGAACTCCACATAAAGTCTTGCTATCCTGCTTTCATATGCCAGAATCACCGGATGCCGTTCGTTGTATGTCAAACACGTCGTGGAACCTAGGCGGCCATTTGCCCGGATGATGCCAGCTTGATCTAGAAATGGGTTTAAACAGATCAATTGACTTTTGGGACTCAGTCTGGTCTTGGCTGTTAGGCAAGCGTAGTCCTTTGAAAAATATTGTTTCTGCGACCATATAAATATACCTTTTCTAGCCATTGACAACTCTTCTGAAGACAACATCTCAGGATTTGAATCCGACTTCCGAGCAAGAGATACAAAACGATACATTCTAGCTACAACATGAATCGCCTTTTGAAAAGTAGATATATTCGACAAAAAATCCTGCACTTTTGGCTTCTCCTTTGCCTTTAGAGGTTTACCTGAGTCTCCTGTCACTTTCTCCGTTTCTTCCGGCTTGCCACCACTTGCTTTCAACGAGCTATCCGCAATTTCTGACGATTTAGCAAACATAGATTGAGACCTTTTTTCCTCCGAGGATGTTTGAAATTCCGTTACACTGATTGGCCAATTATTCTCATCCAAAATGAGCCACTCTGGTCCATGCCACCATAACTTATTATCCTTAAGCTCCGAAGGAGTCAGCCCCCGGGTTGCTAAATCGGCAGGATTACAATTCGATACAACATGTCTCCACTCTATGTTCCCAACTTTGCCTAGAATACTAGATACCCTATTGGCTACAAACGTTTTCCAGCAATTTGGGGATTTTCTGAGCCACGCAAGGACGATAGTCGAATCGGACCACAAAAATAACTCAAATTGACTCTGTTTCAATTTCATTCTGACATTTTCTATTAAATTCGCTAGCAAAGTGGCACCGCACAACTCTAGTCTTGGTAAGGACACCTTCTTTATTGAAGCAACTTTTGTCTTCGATATTAATAAATTCGAAAAAACTCCGTCTTCATTTTTTATCCTTACATAAACGGTAGCAGCGTATGCTAATTCCGATGAGTCACAAAACCCGTGAATTTGAACCACATTACTCGGTGAAAACTTAATCCATCTCGGAATAGAAATAATGTTAATTTTATCAAAGTTGGTAATGAACTTTAACCATTTCTGAAGTGCTAATGGTTTTATCGGTTCATCCCATTGTATTCGATCGAGCCACATTTGCTGCATTAATATTTTAGCTGTAATTATTATTGGCGCTAACCATCCTGCAGGATCAAATATCCTAGCTATCATAGACAACACTTGTCTCTTCGTATATGATGACTTGACTTGAACGACTTCCGTTACAAAATAGAAACAATCAGATGCCGCATTCCACCGAACGCCTAACATTTTCGCCCTGCTATCCTCTTCGAGACACACAAACGAACTAGATAACAAGTCCTCCAATGGCAAATCTTCCAAAATTTCCTTTGTATTTGAAGTCCATTTCCTCAAATCAAACATAGCCGTTTTCAAAATTCCAATCAGCTGATCTCGAGCTTCCAATGCATCTTCTACAGAATGTGCACCAACCAGGGCATCATCCACATACATTGCCTCTCGCAATTTTTTTGCACCTATTGGGAAACTTTTCTCTTCATCATCAGCTAACTGCAGAAGCGTTCTCAACGCCAGGTGCGGAGCACAATTTACTCCAAAAGTCACCGTTTTCAATCTATAATCCTGAATCTCTCCATTCTCAGAGTCTCGCAATATTATTCTTTGAAAATTAGTGTGTCTTTGGTGAACTAATATCTGTCTGTACATTTTTGTTATATCCGCACTGAATACATATTTATAAAATCTCCATTTTGTTATCAGAGCCACTAAATCTTGCTGCAACGTCGGACCAATATACAAGTTATCGTTTAAACTTCGAGCATTTGATGAAATACTTGAGCCATTAAATACCACTCTTAATTGCGTTGTAGTACTATCTTATTTGAACACACCATGATGGGGCAAATAATAACTAGGAACACAATCCGAATCATCAACCTTCTCCATATGTCCTAACGTTATATATTATTTCATGACCTCATCATATTGGGATTTCAATTCTGGTTTACGCAACAACGACTTCTCATTTCTTTCAAATTGTCTCAGAGCAACAAATCTATTTGGACCAAGCGATGGACAACCTTCCCTGAAGGGCAGATCAACAACATATCTCCCATCAGAATTCCTTGTAGTAGTAGAGCGAAAAATTTGTTCACACCTCCTATCATCTTCAGAACTTATAGGACTTTGATAAATTTCCTCTAACTCCCAGAATTTCGCTAATTGTTCATCCAGGGTCACTTTTGTTGCATGACATACTCTAGTGTGGCACGTTTGCACTCTTGATACTGTCGGGCCTGTTACTTTCCAGCCAAATATGGTTTCTTGAGCAACTAATGATTCTAAAATCCCATGTTGAACTCCACCTCGCAGTATAACTGGATATAAATTCCCTCCTATCAAAACATCAATCGGGCCACTTTTGTAGAAACAAGGGTCAGCAAGATTTATTTCAGGCAGATTAAAATTATCAAACAAATCCATAGGTCGCTGGTTCAAATCCGGCTCGAAGGACCAATGTTTATCTCCCTTTCCTTTCCTGAGTTTTTAATTCAGTTTGTAGTCCAATTTTGTTTCAGTTTCAAATTCAAATTTTATTTGTACAAAAGGTAATGTGCGGGCTGAACTTCTCTGTTCGGTGGTTTGTTGGAGATTATAATCTCGGTTATGTGCCGTATGCATACAGGGATTCGACTCTGGCTAGTGGGTGTCTAAGAATCACGTTAAACTAACACAAAACTATTACAAAGTAGGAATCACCCTGTTAACTCCGAGACTACATCTTCCACATCGACGGAGAGTAACAATGGGTTTACATCATATTGGAATAAAGCATGATTTAACAATATCATTAGAAATTATATTTTTAAATAAAAGTAATAGAAAATCAAAATAAACTATTTCAACGCAACCAATCGTTCTGGCTCTCGAATGCGGCATGTCGATTTTCTCAGCAGACATCCAGTCATGACTATAACGGAGGATGGTGTCATAGTTCGATTAAGAAGATCCCAATTGAATGACGAAGAATTGAAACGCATCATCGAAAAGCTCAAAGAAACCCACACTTACGAGGGGTACATAATGAAAAACGGTATTTTGCACAAGCTTATCGACGACAACGAATTGATGGTACTACCTAAACTTATGCAACGAGAGATGATTCGAAAGGCGCACGCAAAGGGACATTTTGCTGTAAAGAAAGTTAAAGAAATTTTACGCAGAGAATACTACATGTCAGATATGGACAGCAAGATCCAGAATCACATAGACAATTGTGTCCAATGTATTGTTGTGAATAGGAAAAGAGGAAAGCAAGAAGGAGAACTTTATCCTTTGCAGAAAAATGCGGAACCGTTACATACGTATCGCGTAGATCATCTAGGTCCATTGGAGTCGACAAATAAAAATTATAAACATATCTTTGTTGTGGTTGACTCATTTACCAAATTTTGCTGGTTATATACCACGAGAAGTACGACGGCAATACTGACGGATATACTGAAAATCCAAAATGAGAATCGGAATAGATATAATTTAAGACGCAAGAGAGCGAATCAGTATCAAATTGGTGACCTTGTTGCTATTAAAAGAACCCAATTTAGACCAAACTTGAAATTAAAGCAGAAGTTTTTGGGACCGTATGAGATATCGAAAGTTAAATCGAATAACACCTACGATGTAACGAAGGCGAGTAACAACGAAGGCCCTAGAACAACAACAAAATGTGCCGAATTTATGAAGCCTTGGAGTATGAGGGAGGATGACGCGGAATTCGAGACGAATTCAACGCAGGATGGCCGAAATGTGGGATCGACGTTTTTCCTGCAACCTGGCAACCCACTTATTCCTTAAAACTTTGACAACTGTCAAAGACTCTCTCGCTCAACTTCTTTAGAGTCAATTCCCTACCCAACAATCCAGAAGGATGACAGTTCGATTTAAGACGTAAAGACGTGCAGACGTGCTAAATCAAAGACGGCAAACAAGGCAAACCGCCGAATTTGCAACTCCTGTGTGTTTTGTCTAATAATATTTAAATCATTGCTTGTTTGAAAACTTGAAGTAAATCCATTATATTACATTAACTTTAAATTCTTCTGAAATCATCTTTATTATTATAAATGAATTAAATAAAACGTTTTAAACTAAAATCCACCTTATGTTATCATTTGGATATCAACGGGGATACGGGAATTCTGCCTACCGCGACTCAACCGAGAGAACAAATCCTACATATATATATATATATATATATATATATATATATATATATATATATATATATATATATATATATATATATATATATATATATATATATATATTTAATAGCAACAAGGTCACCAATTTGAAACTGTTTCACTCTCTTGCTTCTTAAATTATATCTATTCCGATTCTCATTTTGGATTTTCAGTATATCCTCCTTCGCATTTTTTCTCAATTCATCTCGCTGCTCGTCGAATTGCTGTATCACCTCTTCATCTATGAGTTCTCTTATGTAAAGATGTTCAGGTGTGCGCATCTTCACACCTACAAGAAGCTCGAATGGTGTTGTTTTGATGCTTCTGGAATACGTCGAGTTCATAACTTGCTGCACTTTATCTAGATACCTGTACCACTTGCTCGGATCGTCAGCACTTAATTTCGCTACAACAGATGTTATAACGGAATTCATTCTTTCTACTTGACCATTTGCTCTCGACAATCCCGTAGTTATTAAAATATGATTAATATTTTCGGATTCACAGTACTGCCTGAATTCTTCCGATGTAAATGCGCTTCCTCGATCGGAGATTATTCTTACAGGATTTCCAAACACGGAACTTTGATCTTGCAATTTGGAAATAACCTCGGTTGCCGTCGTACTTCTCGTGGTATATAACCAGCAAAATTTGGTAAATGAGTCAACCACAACAAAGATATGTTTATAATTTTTATTTGTCGACTCCAATGGACCTAGATGATCTACGCGATACGTATGTAACGGTTCCGCATTTTTCTGCAAAGGATAAAGTTCTCCTTCTTGCTTTCCTCTTTTCCTATTCACAACAATACATTGGACACAATTGTCTATGTGATTCTGGATCTTGCTGTCCATATCTGACATGTAGTATTCTCTGCGTAAAATTTCTTTAACTTTCTTTACAGCAAAATGTCCCTTTGCGTGCGCCTTTCGAATCATCTCTCGTTGCATAAGTTTAGGTAGTACCATCAATTCGTTGTCGTCGATAAGCTTGTGCAAAATACCGTTTTTCATTATGTACCCCTCGTAAGTGTGGGTTTCTTTGAGCTTTTCGATGATGCGTTTCAATTCTTCGTCATTCAATTGGGATCTTCTTAATCGAACTATGACACCATCCTCCGTTATAGTCATGACTGGATGTCTGCTGAGAAAATCGACATGCCGCATTCGAGAGCCAGAACGATTGGTTGCGTTGAAATAGTTTATTTTGATTTTCTATTACTTTTATTTAAAAATATAATTTCTAATGATATTGTTAAATCATGCTTTATTCCAATATGATGTAAACCCATTGTTACTCTCCGTCGATGTGGAAGATGTAGTCTCGGAGTTAACAGGGTGATTCCTACTTTGTAATAGTTTTGTGTTAGTTTAACGTGATTCTTAGACACCCACTAGCCAGAGTCGAATCCCTGTATGCATACGGCACATAACCGAGATTATAATCTCCAACAAACCACCGAACAGAGAAGTTCAGCCCGCACATTACCTTTTGTAAAAATAAAATTTGAATTTGAAACTGAAACAAAATTGGACTACAAACTGAATTAAAAACTCAGGAAAGGAAAGGGAGATAAACAACGATGTTCGACCTTATAGTTGAATTCTTGTAATAGAAGAATCCATCTTGCAACTCTGGTGCACAGGTCTTTCTTCTCCATAGTTTTCGTAAACGCGTTGCAGTCGGTTACAATTTTAAAATTAATTCCCAAGAGATATACCCGGAATTTCTTGAGTGCTTCTACCACGGCAAGAAACTCTAATTCATAACTGCTGTACTTCCTTTCAGCATCAGATGTCTTTTTGCTCATATAGTAAACTGGATGTAGTTGACCATCATCTGGTAATTTTTGCATTAAAATTGCCCCGTATCCATCAATTGACGCGTCAGTATGAAGTTCTGTTTCATAGGATTGATTAAAAATACTTAAAACAGGAGCATCGCATAATTTCTTCTTCAAGTTGTTGAAAGCATTCACTTGAGTTTCGCCTATCTCAAATTTGACATTGCCCTTTGTTAAATCCGATAACGGTTTAGCGATACGAGAAAAGTCTGGTACAAATTTGCGTAAATAACCGGCCAGTCCCAGAAAACTTTCAAGTTGTTTTATATTGGTCGGTACTGGGAACTTCATAACTGCATTCACTTAGGATATATTTTCCCGTCCTCAATTATGTAGCCTAGAAATTCTTTTTGTCTCTTCAAGAACTTGCATTTCTTAATATTGAGCTCTAGGCCGTATTCGCAACAAAGTTGAATAACCATTTTCAAATTAGCAACAGCATCCTTCTCATTAGTGCCTGGTATAATGATATCGTCAACATATGGCAGGGCTATACCTTTTCGAGTTGCTTCTCTGAAAATTGCATTGATGTATCTTTGGAACACAGAAGGTGAGTTTGATAATCCAAAAGGTACTCGTCTAAATTGATATTGCCCGTTATGGGTTACGAATGATGTATATTTTCTGCTCGACTCAGCTACCGGCACGTGGTAAAATCCATTTTTAAGATCTATCGTACTAAAAACTCTGGCATTCTGAAGACGGTCTAATAAATCTTCTATTAGTGGTAGTGGAAATCTGTATTTAATCATAACTTTATTTAGACGTCGGAAGTCAACACAAAGTCTTGGAGTCCCATCTCTTTTCTTTACAAGAACTACTGCGCTACTATATTCTGATTCGGATTCCTCAATAATTCCTTCTTTCAGCCATTGGTCCACTTGATCATCCACCAAACTTTTTTCTACCAACGGAAGTCGTCTTGGTCTCGTCGATATTGGAATGTCATCAGCCAATACAATACTCATTTCAATATTTACAGACTTACATTTCTCCGGCTTATATTTTCTAATCATTTCCATTACCTCCGCCTTAGCTTCTGTACTTGCGGATTCACCTATATCCAATTCAGTTCCTGTTTCCACACACTCGATTCTCATTAACTGGAAATCGTCGCACTCTGGTTTGATTTTTGTAATGGTAACGCTTTTCGGACGTATTAAAATTTCAGCCTGCGAACAAAAACTTTCACCGATTATCAGGTCAATATTTATGTTATGTCGCGAAACGACAAGAAAATTAACATTATAGCCTTCACCATCAATTATTATATTTTTTTCACATGTTCCGATTGGTTTTATTCTAGTGTTTCCGAATCCGATTAAATAGAGGTTTTTCTCGCATGTTTTTATTTTTGAACACAATTCAATAGATACATTCTCATTCATTATATTGAATTTACTTCCAGTGTCAATTAAAGCTGTATAGTTCCGATTGTCTATTTGCACTGTCTTTTTCATTAATTCGTCATTAGGTTCCAGAAATCTTGTATTAGATTTTTTCCATGTATCTGACACAGAACACTCTTTTGCGATATGACCGAACTGATCACACTTAAAACACTTCGAACCTTTATTTCTGTTTTTACAGTCTACCGATTTATGGTCATTTATTCCACAGTTAAAGCATTTTATTTCTTTTGTGTTACCACTGCTGTCCTTTCTTACTTTATTCGTCCTCTGGTTAACGTTCCTTGAACTAACTTCTTGTTTTGATTTGTTACGAAATGTCTCATATACCGATAATTTCTCTTTAAACTCGCGAATGTTTCTTGCACCATATAAAATAGCTTTATTTATATTTAAATCGTCTATACCGTCAATTACATATTGTATTAGAGAGATTTCGTCTACTATTCCTCTTTCGGCAATCTCTTTAACCTTGAAAAAATACTCGAAAACGCTTTCATCCTTTTTTATCTTTCTCTCTGAGAGCATTTTGTGTATTTGAGCACTATTTGTTTTATTTTCAAATTCTTCACAAAGAGCTGCTTTTAATTTTTCCCAACTCGTTAAACCTCATTCACTCTGTACAAATAATTTTGCCAACCCAGTCAATGACTTTTTTGCAAAAACAAAAGTTTGAAAATCATCCCACTGCATATCCGTCGCTGTTTCTTCCAATTCAGAAATCCATACATCAACAGCCATTCCATTTGATCCGTCAAATTGTCGAATAGAATCTTCAATGTCACGAAAGTTGAGTGTAAATCTTGGTGCTGTTGTACAAATTGTTTTTGCTCTGTTGATATTTGTTGTTACATTTATTTCTCTGTCTCCGTCTGCTGAGAAAAAACTGTCGTTATGTGGCATTCCCTTATTGTTTGTTGCTCTTTCGATCTGCTGCCGTTCGATTTTTGTTCTTATGCTTGCACTCGCCATGCTGTTTAAGGGGTTGTTTTGAGTCTCAGCATCATCTCCGTCGTTCTCATCATGGTCTACGTCGTAACCGTCGCTGCTGCTTGTGAGTAAACTGTTCTTTTTTAAATTCTTAAAAATGTGCAACTTAAGATCGTTGTTATTGTAGTCAATGCCTAAAACGTTGCAAATTGAAATCAAATCTGCCGTCGTCAACTGCTCCTCAACATACGCCGTTTTTTGTTGATATTTATCAGAACTCTCGTCGAAGTCGAAACCTTCAAACTCTCTCAAACGTTGTCTATTTGTTCTATCTCCTTCTGACTCAAACACAAATTTATGTAGGGCAGTTACGCTCTCTTTCCTACTCCTACGTAGACTTTCACGCACACTACCAAACATTCCTTCAGAAATTCAAATTTAGCCGTCGTTTGTAGTTTTGTTGGATAGACACAAATGTGACAAAGTCCATGTAACTGTTTGTTGTTTCACTTCTCGTCTTTCGTTTTTTTTTTCACGACGCGACTTATCCGATTAGTTTTTTGTTTATATTATTTTTATTTCACGACACATAGTTTTGGTCAATGTCTAGAATTTATGTTCATTCACGTTGAGTTCCGAAAAATGTAGGACTGTGTTCCCGGACGAGCCCCCAAAATGTAGGATTTGTTCTCTCGGTTGAGTCGCGGTAGGCAGAATTCCCGTATCCCCGTTGATATCCAAATGATAATATAAGGTGGATTTTAGTTTAAAACGTTTTATTTAATTCATTTATAATAATAAAGATGATTTCAGAAGAATTTAAAGTTAATGTAATACAATGGATTTACTTCAAGTTTTCAAACAAGCAATGATTTAAATATTATTAGACAAACACACAGGAGTTGCAAATTCGGCCGTCTGCCTTGTTTGCCGTCTTTGATTTAGCACGTCTGCACGTCTTTACGTCTTAAATCGAACTGTCATCCTTCTGGATTGTTGGGTAGGGAATTGACTCTAAAGAAGTTGAGCGAGAGAGACTTTAACAGTTGTCAAAGTTTTAAATAATAAGTGGGTTGCCAGGTTGCAGGAAAAACGTCGATCCCACATATATATATATATATATATATATATATATATATATATATATATATATATATATATATATATATATATATATATATATATATATATATATACGTTCGTCGATAGTCGCCGGTGATTCTAACCTCGGACGGCCAATTATGAAGTGTCCAGGTGTTAGAGTGACAATATATTCTGTTCCAAGGTCATGCAGTGCTTCCAAGTTCATGCAGTGGCCGCGAATTCAGTACTGCTTCAATCTGAGATAGCACCGTACTTAATTGCTCGTAAGTCAATTTCGTGTCATCAATTACTTTTTTTAGGTGATATTTTATGGACTTTACAGCTGTTTTCCAAACTCCCCCAAAGTGAGGAGCTGCCGGCGGGATGAAAGCCAATTAATTTTTTCATTTTCAAAAATAGGCGCAACCTTCGTGTTCTTCTTAAAGGTCAACGAAAAGTCTCTTTCAAGCTGCTCCTTCGAAGCTCGTTCCGTTGTCGGAATATAAATCACTTGATTTTCCTCATCTCGCATAAATTCGCCTTAGCGCCGACAGAAATGCTTCCGTTGTAAGTACGCTGACAGCTTCCAAATGATTTAACTTTGTAATCTCGCACTTAACCTCTAAAGCGCATACATCTTGGACTGCACCTAATGTAAAGTTTTATCCTATTTTTAGCTGCAATAATCCAATCCTTAGTATATTTTCCATAAGTCGATTTCCTCCATGCATCATTATAATATGATTACTATGAATGATATTTCCAGCTAATCTTGACTTCTGGATAATGATTGGATGCTTTTCGTTATAGGTCAGCTCTGATAAAGCAATTCTTCCACCCACACGCGTTATGCCATATCGATCAATCTGTCGATGTAGTGAGGCTATGTTACTTCGATGATCCACAGTTCCCAATGTCTTCAATTTTCTTACTTACGCTGGCCATTCTCTTTCTCTTCTACAGTAAAATGCTCATTTACTGCTCGCTTCTTTTTTAGTCATCATATTTCTGTTTACATGATTTTCTGTCGAAAACCTTGCTGTTGCTGCTACTGCTTGTCTTTTGTTGCTCTTTGGCTAATATTTCTCATCTTTTTTCAACCATTCAAGCAGTTCCCACCATAATGTGTTGCTTGTCAAAGTCTCCTGTGGGACACCCCTTGAACAAATATCTGCTGAATTATAGTCTAAAGTCAAAGGATTTTACACATTCCCATTTCGCTTCGGGCATTCTTTCCAAAATATTGGTCACTCTTGTTTTTATAAACTTAGCATTATTTTTAGAGCTGTGAATCCATGCCAAGGAAATCATAGAATCACTTCAAGCATAAGTTGATTTTGTTGACTTCAATACTCCTTTGACCTTCTGTAATAGTTTAGCCAATAGATGTGCTGCACAAAGTTCCAGCTTTGGAAGTGTCTTTCTGTTTTGTACCGCGTTTACCTTGCTTTGTGCAGCTACTATAGTCCCCTGCGAATTTACCTTTAGGCATACCACTGCTACATATGCCTTTTCGGAAACATCTGCAAACCCATGTAACTTTGCAGTTTTGTCTTCCAATATTCCAAACCATCTTGGAATATTTATATTTTCTAGTGCAGGCATATTGTATGTGAACAGCCTCCAATCTTCATTAAACATCTCGTCCAATGGAACATCCCATTCTATTGGTTGTATCCATAAGTGCTGTATAAATAGTTTTTCTGTTATTTTGACTGTCGTCAGCCAATATATTTTTGACAGTTTTGACAATGCTATTCCTTTTGTCAACTTGTCTTCTTTTTTATTTTGCATATTGAGTGTAAAGCAGTCGATCTGTGTATTCCAATGTAATCACATTGTTTTCAAACATTCGCCTTCTTCTATTCGCAGCACTTCGTTTTCTTCATTCAGTTTATCGCTCATAATATGTCAGGGGAAATGGTTCTGAAGCGGTGCCATATGTTACCGTAGTATTTTTCTATTATTGGATAGTCTCTGACGAATTACTCCTCCACAGCATAGGTTGGTATTCCTGATCTTACTTTTCAACTTTAATCTGACGAAACATTTTCTCCACATCAGCTGAGATGACAAAGTTCCACGATCTCCACTTTCTTACTATGTCATATATATATCTTTTTGGAGCCTTGATTCCACTTGAAGTATGTCATTCAGCGACTTTCCGTTTGAAGTTCTCGATGAAGCATTAAACACCTCTCTAACTTTAGTGGTTAGACTTGTTTCAAGTACCACTGCCTGATGTGGCATATAATACAAAGCCTTCTTTCTTGGATCCACCTTTTCCATTTGACCCATGGATATGAACTCGTCCATTGTTCTCTCGTATTCTGCCTTTAATTCCGCGTTACCTTCTAATCTTTTTTCCAAGTTTATAAACCTCGCTATCGCTCTTTCATATGAATCTCCTTAATCCATTTCTACAATTAACGGTAAACGCACGACAAATCATCCTGAATTGTCTCCTGTCTTTGGATGTCCTTTGATTTTTTACATTTTGCTCATAAAGAATAATTCCATCCTTATCCAGTTCTAGTGAATCCTCTTTAAGACCATCTTTTTCTTATTATCCCCTGCATTTCGCTCTCAAACTTTTTTTCAATTTCCTCAAATTTGAAATCTACCTATTCCATTCCATGCACCGTTGAGAGCATGAGATGCAATTTTCTTATCTCATCCAAATGTTTTCTCACGATGACTACATGTACTCCATAGCATGTGTATATATACCAGCAAAAATGCTTTCAATGGCATCAACGAGTTTGTTTACTTTTTTGGAAGATGATTGCACTTACTTTGATATTCGCCTGGCTGCTCATTGGTGGTGATTCTATTAAGGTTTGCTTTTCATCCTCATTTTCTTTTTTAATCTTCGATATAAATTGTTATTTTCTTTGCCAAGCAATAAAAAGTTCTAGTTTTAGCTTATTTATTACTTATTCCCTTTTGACTTTTTTCAAAATTATTATTATTCTTTCTGCCCCAAATGTTTTTTTTTCCCTAGTGCTTTTTTATTTACTTTACCCCTATTGCTTTTTATACCCTAAACCACAAGGTGGTCAGGGTATTATGTCTTTGTGCATTTGTTTGTAACAGGCAAAAGGAAACGAGATAGACCCATAGTTACTTTTGAGAATCTCCATAGAATCACTTTCTGAGTTGATTTATGCATGTCAGTCCGTCCGACGTCCGTCCGTCTGTCCATGTATTCTTGTGAACAAAATGCAGGTCGCATTTATTATCCGATTGACATGAAATTTTGCAAACAACATTTGTTTGGCCCTATTGAAATTGGAGATAATCGGTCAAAATTAGGATATAGCTCCCATATATATCTTCGATATCGGTTCAGATATAGCTATAGCCCCCATATATAACTTCGTCCGATTTACCTTTTTATGGTGCACCAACCGTCTAATATTTGTCCAAATGTGATGGAATTTGGCACTTACGACCGAATTGAGTCTAGAAGCTAGTATGTCAAATTTTGTAAAGATCGGTTCAGATATAGCTATAGCTCCCATATATATTGTTCATCCGATTTGTTATTTTTGTCCTCCGTAGCCGTAATATGCACTCTGTAACAACAATATTTGGGGAAATGTATCAAATGCAGCTCTGAAATACATTTGCTAAACTTTATCGAGATCGGTTCAGATTTGGATATAGCTCCCATTTATAACTTCGTCCGATTTACCTTTTTATGGTGCACCAAACGTCTAATATTTGTCCATGTGATGGAATTTGGCACTTACGACCGAATTGAGTCTAGAAGCTAGTGTGTCAAATTTGGTGAAGATCGGTTCAGATATAGCTATAGCACCCATATATACTGTTCATCCGATTTGTAGTATTTGTTACCCACAGCCGTAATATGCACTCCGTAACAACGATATGCAGGGAAATATATCAAATACTGCTGAGAAATATATTTGTCAAATTTTATCGAGATCGGTTTAGATTTGGATATAGCTCCCATATATATATATTTATCCGATTTCAAATTAATTGTGCCCCAAATGGGCAATACAAGTCCGAATTTAAAAGATACAAATGTTTCGGCATATTTAGGCCTTTGAACTTTAAATTATAATTATAATCATAGCGTATCTGATTGAATTCTCCCATAAAAACCCTTAATTGTTATGTGGAGCTCAGCTAAATTAGCAAAGTGGTGTAGGGTATCATAAAATCGGCCCCGCCCGACTTTAGGACTTATTTTTCTGGTTTTGTTTTATTTTTCCCTATTCCTTTTTTTGTTTTATTTTGCCCCTATATTTCTAAAGAAAGGTACATTAACTTTATCATTCCGTTTGTAATACCCATAAATATTCGTCATAGACCCCATAAAGTATAAATATTCCTAATAAGCATAAAATTCCGAGTCGATTTAACGATATCCTCCAGTTTGCCTCTCCGCTTGTCTGTCTGTATGTTGAAGTTATGATACTGCCCACAATTTTTGACGTACAGCGTCAAATTTTAGAAGAACAATAGGTATTTTGTCTAGGATATTTGGTATTGAAAATTAGATATATCGGTTCACGTTTTGGTATAGTCCCCATATAATGGTACCTCTCGATATTCGTTATTTTGATGATTTTTGCCACATTTTTTCACGGATTTGTCAAAATTTTGGTATTTTTGGTCGTAATGAGTTTTAGCTCCGGTGCCGAAATATTGTATGTATAGGTCCCATATAACGGAATTCGGTATTTTGACGATCTTTAACACATTTTTCGTGGATTTGTCCAAAAAATGGTATTGGTGGGTCATAATGGGTTCTAGCTCGTATGGCGAAACATTTTTTGCATAGATCCAAGTTTTGGTACAGCCCTCATATAACGGTACCCCCTGATATGGGTTCTAACTCGTGTGGCGAAACATTGTATGTATAGGTCCACGTTTTAGTATAGCCCCCATACAACGGGACCTGCCGATATTCGATATTTTGATGATTTTTGCCACATTTTTCCACGGATTTGCCTAAAATTTGTTTTTTTAGTCCATAATAGGTTCTATCCCGATGGCAGAACATTGAATACTTAGTTCCACGATTCTCTATAATGCACATATAACGATACCCCCCGCTGTTCTGTATTTTGATAATCCTAGGCACATTTACGCATATAATTGTTTATATATATTGTACTTTTGCTTAAAACACTTGGTTTATAATTATGTACCTAATCTCAGTATGCGTTGGTATTACAATGTGTTTGTCAATTATGTTTTCTCATTTTTAAATCAGTTCATAAACGAACTCAATTACAACAGGTTATGGGCCTTAGCCACGGTTGGAAAAAATATTGTGAAATATAGATCATATTGAAAATTTGTGAATTTTCGAATAAAAGCAAACTGGCTGGCAATAACATAGCGACAACGACGACGTTTGGAAGAGGCAAGGAGATTTAGAGAGATTTAGCCGAAAGTACATTGATGATTGAACCAGACAACTATGACTACAATGCAGCTGAAACTACCGCAAAAGATGTTTGGAGTGCGTTGTTGAATGCATATGAAGATACGGACCTCACCAGAAAAGTTGAATTCGTAAACATCAAATTACAGAACTATGGATCAATTCAAGAATATGTCCATGATATCGAAAAAGTGGCTCTGAAGGTAAAAAATGCTGGCCGGAGTATTGACGATGAATTGACCACATCGCTAATGTTAGCAGGATTAAATGATGGCTTTAAACCGCTTGTGATAGAAAACTCCAAGGTAAATTGCCGGTGGAAAAAACGATGTGTTGTCTGCCTGAAGGGAAAGCAAACCCGAAAAATAAACAGAAAAATCGGTATACGAGCTAAACATGTATTGGAGATTGTTCATTCGGATGTGGTTGGTCCATTAAATGAATATTCGTTCTCGGGAGCTCGTTTTTTGTTGACTTTTGTGGATGATTATTATAAACAATTGTTCGTTAAAAAAAAAAACCAAAATGCTGGCCTGGTCTAAAAAAATCGAAGTTCTACGATCGAATAATGGGGGTGAGTACACCGGCAAACATTTCTCAGAATTCTTGCAAAAAAGTGGAATAACACATTAAAAATCATGTCCATACACGCCGATCAAAATGGTGTAGCCAAGCGAATAAATAGGACGATCATAGAAAGGGTACGATTTATACTTATTGACAGTGAATTAGATCAAAATTTTTGGGCAGGAGCTGCTTCAACTGCATCGTATTTTATAAATAGAGTGCTATGCCGGGGAAATGAAAGATATCCGGAAGAATTACCAAATTTTAAGCATCTCAGAGTTTTAGAATGGCCAACATTGGTGCATGTACAAAAACAATGGAGCTTTGGTGCATGTACAAAAAAAAAAAAAACGGAAAAATTGAATCAATGTCATGGTTGGATACATGACGAATAGTAAAGCTTATCGATTGACTAAAAACCCGTGTCGTGGTATTTCTTGAACAGTCAATCAGATATTGGAATGTAATCTTCAAATTTGTTCAATCCAATACTAATTCAATCTCCGTATGAAGAAAGTCGTAAAGCTGTCGACCAAACGGTGAATATGGACTCACGTGAATTGAACGAAAATAATGGCACTCAAAATAAACTTCGTAGTGATTTTGACACTGATACTGAGTTCTTGGACTCAGAATATCTAAACGCAACGGTTATGTGGACACAAATCATGAAGAATGGGAACAAAATCAACAAATACCAACATCAGAAGATATTCGGAGATCAGAAAGGATTGCAAACCGAAATCAACCATCAACGGCATTTTCTGCAATAGAATATGCTTCTTCAGATCCTCAAAATGAAAAGCAGGTAATTACATCTGAAGATTCTGGAAATTGGGAAATAGCTTTGCAAGAAGAAATGTCTTCTTGAAAGACAACAATACTAGGACTTTAGTTGAGCTTCCTCAAGGATGCAAAGTCTCTAAAGAAGACACTTTTAAGTAAATTTAAAATGAAAGACATGGGTGAAGTGTCTACTGTGCTTGGTATGACAATATCCTGAGCTGAAGAACGAATCAAAATTGGTCAGTCTAAATACATATCCTATGTTCTGATATGTTTTGAAATGAGTGATTGTAACCCTTCCTTAACACCGATGGACTATAATAAAAAGTTATCCGAAAAACCGAGACTGAAAAGGAAAAAATGTAGAAAATATGGTATATCGAAGCTTTTGGGTGCTTGTTGTACGCCGCATACGCATACGCATCCTGAGCCGATTTGGTATGAATCCTTGTAGAGCACATTGGGAAGCTGTAAAACGAATAATGCGTTACTTGAAAGGAACTATTGAACAAGGGCTCATCTATAGAAAAATGTTGAG